GAATTCACCTGCAGCTGGTTCAGAGCCGGTGCCCCTGGAGTTAGGTGGGGGCTCTCTGGCAAAAGCTCCTGCAGAGCAGTGCAGGAGATGAGAAACAGCTGCAGAGCTTCCAGAGCTGTTAGCAGCAGCTGGCCGCAGCTGATGAGAGTTTCCTTTCTCCCATCTTCCCCCAGGTTTCTGTGTTCCCAGAGAAGGCTGTGCTGGTCTGGGGAACAGGTAAGGAGTACAAGGGAAGGGGAGGGATATGATATAACGTAATGTAATGTTGTGCTCCGCCCAGAGAAGCCCTGAACAGTTGTACTTAGACCCTCCCCCCAAAAAGATGTGTAAAGAGCTTGCTGATATTTCCTGCCCCCGCTGCTGGGACGGAAAGCGTTCCCCCATGTGATAACGTTTACTTCTTACTGGTAGAGATTTGAGGCGCTGCTATAATACAAACAGGTAAAGCAGGGAAACGAGCCCTGGGGTCTGCCCAGTTTGTGCAATGAAGCTGGCAAAACTGGGAGCAGAAGCATGGGTTTCCGGCTTAAAGCTGGAAATGTTTTAAATGTATGTGATTGCAACCACGGACCTTTCTCTTAAGTCGAGGAGAAGGCTAAAAGGCCTTAATTTTGCCTGTGGCTGTTCAGTTGCTGAATCCCCATGCCATCGGTTTGTATACTGTGTATTCTGGGTGAAAGCATCGTAACCCTTGAGCTCTGTCTCACTACCCCTGCTTTCCCAGGGCAGAGGGATCTTGATCAGAATGATAGAGCCAATTTGCGGTAGATCAAATCTAAGGCTGCCGATTCCTTATGCCCTACTGCTTAATCAGAAGCTCACGCTTGTCTCCTGAAGCTATCTCCTTTTTTGGTCCCCCTCTAGCTTCGGAAGGTGAAACAGAAGAGAACCCGCTGACACGTGCAGAAGGCTGGAGTAGCCAGTGTCTCTGTCTGCGTCGTGAACAGAGCTGAGAAGTAGACAAGCGACAGGCTGGAGGTGTCTTGGCTCAGGACGTCTGGATTCTTGAAGCCAGCTCTTTTCAGGTGAGCGTTACCTGCTCGGAAGCCAACTGATGGGATAGTTTTACAGAAAACGGCCTCGCCTACTCCCACACACCTCATAACTCCGGGGAAGCTTTGTAAGGACGTGGGTTGGGGGCGGGGGGCAAGCACGGTTCTCTTTCCTTGCTGATCCCCATCGCCTGGTGTTTTAGATTAAGACTTGTTTACAAATCAAGAGAAAAGACATTTCGGATTCAAGACGTAACTGCGAGCATGCTCAGTTGCTTCTTGGGGTGTCTGACTTCTGTGTGTGCGTTTCTGCGTGTGCGCGTGAAACGTACGTAGATGTCTTCGGCCGGGCTATGGCTTCACGTATGCACGGGAACGTGTTGCGCGAGGTCTTCTCGGCAAGCCAAAGAAAGTAGATGTGCTCCTCTTTCTGAAAGGTGTTGGATCCGAGCTCACTCTCTCCCCTAAAGACAGGGGAGCTCTGTAACTTGGCTTCTGACTCAGAGTTGTTATTCAAGTCTGTCTCGAATGGCTCTTGTATTCCACAGCTCCTGAAAGCTTTGAATTTTTGTAGTGTGACTTGCGCCTGTCTGTGGCAATAGGAGGGTGTCATCTCTTCTCCTGGCTGTGCCCAGCTGGTGGTGTTTGTACAGAAGCAAGCTCAGAGGGCTTGGGGGGAACTCTGGGCTGGTGCATACTGGTCACGCCAATCAACTGTGTTGTTCGTGTGTGTATATATATATATATATATTTGTATTTCTGTGGTAGAACAGAGATTAACTTCCAATTAAGTAATTGGTACTTTACCCCATCTTCCTAGCATGGGGTGTACAGTAGGCGCCTGGCTTCTCCTCGCACAGTGCTGCGCCCGCTGCATTGGCGTTGCTTTGAGTCCCTGTGCTGCAGCAAGTGGCTGATCCTGCATCTATAATATAGAAAGAGCTCCCGGGATTTGCGTGGCCTGGGGTTAAAACCAGTCCTTTCAGTTAAAGAGAGGCAGTGGGAAAAGTACGGGTGGGCAGCGGGAGAGGGGACACGAGGCAGAGAGGAGGCTGGGGACTGGTGAGAGTCGATTGCTCCATTGGCAGCGGACTGGGGGCTGTGTCAGGGTGCCCAGTTCATCCTGCGGATGCCTGGCTATGTCTCCATCGGTACCATACGTAGATGCTGCTGCCATCGTAGCTGTTCGTAGCCTCCTCGGGACATGAGGACACGACAGATGTGCTTGATGAGCATCGCAGCCTTTTTTATTAGCCGTATTCTCTTCTCTCTGAACAGATATGCTATTTTACTGGTGGGGGAAAGGCGGCCTCTTACCCCCCACATCCTCAAATTCTGTGAAGTTGCAGTAAAAGAGCTGAACTCGGGTCTCTGCCCCTCCTCCCTGATTTTTAAAACCACTTCAAAGGTGAGCTGGCAGACGATTGAAGCGACCGGTTCTGCTGGGCTTGCCGCCACTCACCTTTCGTGCCGCTCCCCCGCGGAACAAAGCACGGCGCTTCCCTTTGATTTCCCCCTTTGAAAGCCATAGGGGACAGAGTCTGAAATGCTCTGCAACTTTTTTGGTGACTTTGCTCCGGTGCCTTCCTGAAGCACTGGGTGGATCAGGCCGGGGCTCCAGGGAGGAGACCTCAATCGTGCCTAAATTAGCCATCGGCGCAGGCTGGTCGACAGGACACTTCATCCCTCCCGGATGCCGCAGCTGGCATCCC